TGATTTAAGAATGGTTTGGGATGCAAGTAAAGCTTTTATTAGAGGTTATTTTATACAACATCACAGTGAACTCAAAAAAAAAGATTCCAGAGAAAACACAAGCTATTTTGGATCAGATCAAGAGAAAAGAAGAAGAATTAAAGACATTTTCAGAGAAGATAAGTATTTCTCAACAAATTAAGCTTTTACAACAGTTTTCTATGTTAACAGTAAGAGAAATGGAAATAAAAATGAACTATGTAAACAAAATTGAGTTTGCAAACAAACAGGGAAGTGGCTGGCATATAAATTATGAAAAGAAAAAGAAAAGAAAAAGATATTGAAATTACAAGAGGGAGATACTACATTAACAGATAGTGCAGCTATACAAAAAGCATTTCATCAACATTATTCCAGCTTGTATAAAGGAAGTGACATCTCTCTGGAGAAAATAAATGAATATTTAAAGAAACAAATTTACCAAGGATTACAGAGGAACAGAAAAAGATTATGAATGGACCTATAACAATAAAGGAAATTTCTGAAGCTATAAAAAAGGATAAACTAGGAAAGGTGCCTGGACCAGATGGATTATCAGGTTCTTATAAATGTTCTGAGGATGAACTTCTACAACCTTTACAAAACATGATGGGTTCTATCTTACAGGGAGGAAAGATGCCAGAGAGTTGGAAAGAGACAAATACAGCACTAATACCTAAAGAGGGACAAGATTTGACTTTAATAAGAAACTATAGGCTGATATTATTATTGAATAATGACTACAAGTGGTTTACAACAATTCTAGCTGACAAACTGAAAATAATTTTGCAAGAATTTATTCATGGGGATCAATGTGGGTTTTTACCTAAAAGACAGTTAAAGGACAATGTTAGAAATGTGTTGGACATTTTGGAATATTTGAAGCAACATAATGAAAAAAAGCAGCATTTATTTTCGTTAAAGGACAATGTTAGAAATGTGTTGGACATTTTGGAATATTTGAAGCAACATAATGAAAAAAAGCAGCATTTATTTTCTTAGATGCAGAGAAGGTCCTTGACAATTTGAACTTGGCTTTCTTGTTCAAAGTTTGGAAGATATGAACTTTGGACAGAATGGAGAATTTATAAAATGGGTAAGATCAATTTACACTTCACAGAAAGTACAAATAATTGTTAACTGAGATCTAACAAAGCCTTGTGAGATACAGAAAGGAACAAGACAGGGATGCCCACTGTCTTGTCGCTTGCTTATTTTGGTTCTTGAAATACTGAATAGAGATATGAGACAAGATGAGAGGATTGTCAGAGTAAAGATTAAAAAAGAAACTTATCAGTTAAGGACTTTTGCAGATGACTTGGTGTCATTTTTGGAAGATCCTTTAAAGGGAATTGAAACATTAATCAGAAAACTAAGAGAATTTGGGGCATTAACAGCTTTTAAGATCAACAAACAGAAGATGAAGATGTTCATGTTAACAAAAGACATGAAAATGGAAGATCAAACAGAACTGATAAATAAAACAGGTTTCAAGAATGAGAAGAAAGCAAAATGTTTGGGTATCACTATGACAAATATGAATTGTATGTTAAGACATGGAATGAAGCTTAAAAAGACATGTTGAGATGGGAGAAACTACAGTTATCATTGCTCGGGAGAATTTCTGTGATAAAAATGAATGTCTTACCTAGAATGATGTTTTTGTTTCAGACAATGTCTGAAGGCATTCAGACAATGCCTTCAGACACCATTTAAACAGTGTCAGAAGGATATATCTAAATGTGTGTGGCAGGGGAAAAAAACTATGAGTTAAATATAAGGTGTTACAAGATGCAAAGGAAAGAGGAGGATTGGGTCTACCTGATTTGAAATTGTATTTTGTAGCTTGCTGTTTGGTTTGAAAGAGTGGGTGCTGCTGAGAAACAGAAGACTCTTGGAGTTAGAAGAACACAGGCTGAGATTTGGGTAGCATGGATATCTGTGGTATGATAAAGTCAAGGTTAATGTGGATTTTAAAAGTTACTATGTTAGACGTGCCATATTGAGAATATAGGATAGATACAAACCCAGATTGTGCCCAAAAACAACTTTGTGGCTCTCAGCAGAAGAATTGCATAGACAAGAAATAATGGGCAAACATAACTGGCTAACCTATTGTGAGATTCTAGAATTTTGTCAAGGGGAATACAAAATAAAATCAAGAGAAGAACCGGTGGCAGAAGGATATAATTGCCAATGGTTTTCTTATTTACAGTTATTAGAAAGATTTAAACTAGACA